TATAAACAAAACTAATAAATGAAAATTAGACAAACTCCTCAATTAAACTCAATTCTAGATTATTAAATAAAAATTATATCCAGCCTAAACAAATGATATCAAATCATCCAAAATAAATATAGAAGACAATTGTAATAAAATTAAATGAAGCGAGATAAAATTATTAATAAAAATAATTGCCTACAAATGTTACCAATTCAATGCATATCAAATCAGAGTTAATCATATTAAATCAGATAAAGTTAAATAAAAGCAAATCAAATTATATGAAATAATGAAAAGTAAATGAAATTTTATTAGATCAACTAAAATCACACCATATAAGAGAAATTACACCAAAGAGATTCATATCAGTAAAGTAAAATTTAATTTAATTTCAAGCAAATAAAATCATATTGAAATAAATCAGATCAAAGAAATTACAATCAACATCAAATCAGAGTAAATTATATCGATTCAACCAACTTATAAGATATAAAATAAAGTAAAATCAATTAAATTAAAATCAATTAATAACAAAACAAATTTGAGTAATGAGAATTAATTAAAATAAAATAAACACAAATCAAATATAAACAAATCATAGGAAATCATGGCAAATAAATTCAATAGAAATGAAATTAAGCCAAATAAATTAATCAATGTTAAAGGAATACAATCTAAATCATATCAAAGAAATAAAATAAAATAAAATAAATTCAAGACTTGTAATAAAATATATGCTAATCGAATCAAATGAATACTAGATATTTCAATTCAGAGCAAATAATATTTTATGAATTCAATCTACCTAAGCACGAAATATGAAATCAAATAAAGTCTTATCACATCAAATCAAATCAAAATTAAATTAAATCAATTAAAATGAATTAAAATCAGATTAAATGAAATCAGATTGGATCAGATCAGATCAAATAATTAAACAAAATAAAATCATTGAATTAAAATGAAATGAAATAACATCAATCTAAGCAAATCTTCAAGAATTTAAACAAATTAAGCCAAATAATATCAAATTTAATCAAGACAAATCAAATTAAATCAGATAAATATAATCAATCAAATCAATGTA